AGTATTAAGACAGAAAAGCAACCTTTTGGTGCAAATAAGAATCTGCATGTTTTACACATCGCTAACACATTATGATGCTTTCATATTTATTCATAATTCATTCATAATTCAGTCACTGAACTCAATCCACTATCATTCTTTCACAAGAATTAAAAATCAGGCCAGATCCTAAGCTAATGTAAGTCAGCATAGATCTATGAAGTCAATGGAGATATGCTAATCTACATCAGTCAAAGATCTGGCCCAAAAAAAAAAAAAAAAAAAAAAAATCAATAGAGTTGATGTGCTTGCCTTTAGAAAAATAAGGTTTCTTTAGATCTCAATCCATTCCCGACTTTTTCTTTTTAAACCAGAACTCCCTCAAACTGTCCTTATTAAAGCATGTATGTCCCAAAATTCATTCATGTTTACAGCAGTAGTATTTTTAATTTTGTTTAAACAGCAAGTCACCATTAATGCTTGTTTGTATACGTGATGATGGATTTGTATACCATATGCAAAAACAGTACTATCCTCCTCTGATCACAAGAAGAAAAGAAAGAATTTTCAAACTACAAAACAAGCTTTTATTTTGACAGGTTCCACATAAGCAGCATATTCAGCAAGTTCCTGGCCTTTTCCTTGGTCACCAGAACGAAAGGCTTACTTCTGAAAAAGCAGTAACTACTCAGCTCTCTCTGGAAGTGAATTAACTCCCAAAGTTTCTCATTGAAACAACCTCTCCTACTCAGTCTACTACAAATCTTAGCCCAAGTCTTCAATCAATCAGAGATGGTCTGAGTGGGAGAAATACTCAAATAGCTTCCTGTTTATCAGTTCACCAGGAGTCAGCACTCTACAACAACTCTCAAGATTTGAAGGTTTCATGTGTGATGGTACAGAAACATTTATGTAAACTCCAGTGATGCCTGTCAATATTTTAGAGCATTCCTTTTTTCACCAACAGGCACAGAATTCATAGTATTTTATACCTGACAACTTGTGTCTCTATGACCATGGATCACATTCAATGTCAATGAAGATAGAATTCCTTGAAACCCAGCCAGCGTCTTGGATTTCTTCCAGTTATAAGTTCTTTTTTGTGTTATGAGTAGCCATCATCAATTTTATTATTTCAAGAAGTGTCAAGAAAATGTTGATTGTTCTCTTCATCACATCTGACATTGCTCAGAAATGGATTGAGGAGGAGAAGAAAAAAGTAGTTAAATACAGGCTCATTCCTGGACACTTAGCCCTGAAAAAGTGAGGGCATATTTATTTTAACTATTGTTTAGTTATACCAGAAGCCCTGTTACAAAGGGCTCCCCTTCTCAGACATCACTGCTGGAAGGGGGCATTGCCAGGGCAACCTAACTATCAGAGTGAAACTTGTTAGCAAATGTCATCATAGTGTAAGCAGTATGATAGCCATTCCAAAGAGCACTCACATATAGATTGCTTAACTGGAGTTTCTGGATTAACTGAGTGGGAGGGACCAAGAAACCAAACAATGATCCACCCCTTTTCCCCACAACACATACACACTTTAGGCCAGTAAATTAGGTGCGTGTAGATGCCAAAATCCTGGATTAACAGGTCAGGATGCAGGCACACACAGCAGGACAGGCACTAATGCCATTTTCTTTCTATCATCCCTCTTACACACACAAAAAAAAGCGAAGAGGAAAAATTAAAGTGACATCTTTGCCACAGTAGAGCAGCTGGGAGGCAAGCAGGCAGGCAGAATAGGCATCCTCTCTGCCCTCCCTCAAAAAAAAATAAAAAAATTAGTAACTCTGTTATTGCCAGAGAAAAGAGACTCAATTTGAAGAGTAGTCTAAAGTAGAGGTGTAATTTTCTCACTTCACTGTGGAAGCCGGACCTTTTTTTGCTGTTAGGAAGCCCCTTTAAAAACAACAGAAAAAGAAAAAAATTGAAGGCTGGATCTATTCAGACCTATATAATAGGAGATTCTTTTCTGTGTTCCCCTAAGAAGAGATAGAAAGTGGGTTTTCTTCTTGCATGTCATTTCTGCTGAATTTTTGAATGAGGGACCTTAATTTTTACATCATCCTCTCAACACTGTAAAACAAGGTCAGCTGCATTCTGAGGAAAAGGATTGAGAGTGAAATTTACATTTTAGTCAGTATTGAATGTCTGACAGCAAAGGAGATTTTTAATGGAAAGATGTAGAATGCAGAGGAGATATTCCCCACCGGATTGCAACGGTTTTAAAATAGATTAAAATTAAGATGCATGATCAGAACATCCCTTTTTTAAAAAGCTACTTGAAAGGCAGAATAGAGTATATACAATTTAAAAGCACATTTCCATCAGCTAAAAGCATTACATTTCTCTGAAACTTTTTAGTTCACTTCTTGTGCCTCCTACCTACTTATTTACAGCAGAGCCCAGAAGAACTGGAAAATAACTGGATCCCTTAGCATTAAACCAAAAGCAGAACATCAGAAGAAAAGCTGGAATTGAGCATACATATGCTGCTCACACATCTGTACTGAGGGGACACCCACTTTGAATGCCAGAAAAACAAGGTTTTCTCCATCTGTGCATTCATTTGGCACGTCTGAATGCACAAAGCTAATATCAGTGCTTAATGTGTCACTTTGGTAGGCAAAAAAAACAGCTTCACAGAAGGCTAATCCTACACATATGATTATTCAAGAATTAACCAAAGGACTCGGCAAGTTAATCAGATCAGTTCATTGAGAGGCTATGCACTACAAACAATAAATTCCTCTCCCCATCTAGAAATAAGGTGGAGGTTATTGAAGGTCAAGACAGAGGAGAAATATCTGTACAAAATAGACTGAAGCAGACTGGCTCTAGAATGGAAAATATACTGCTCTGGAAGTATGCATGTATAAACTGCTGACTAAAGACTCATCTGCACTGGAGATTTGTTCTGAATACAGGCATCACTGCCCAGCCATCAGGGTATCCACTCTGGTTCAAGCTCTCAGGCAAAGCAGCCCTTAGTGCCATTACAGCTTTAACAGAACAAGTTTACCTCCAAGAACTGGCACTATTTGGTCCAACGGACCATGGCAGCCCCCAGCACCAGAAGCCTGGGGGGCCCTGCAGCAGGAGCCAAAGCCTGTACAGCCCAGGGAGCTGGCAGCAGCTGGGTGAGGAGCCCAGCAAGGTTGCGACAGGGTGTGTCCTGAAGCAGCCAGCTGGCAGCAGGCAATAGGCGTGGCAGCTGGTGGCAAGGGGACCTCCCCTGGTCCAGCAAATTCTCTCATTCTGGAATTGTCAGGTCCCAATGGTGTTGCCTAGGGAGATGCACCAGTGTCACATTTAACGACACAGAACTATGACA